AACAAGCAACATCACAAGTGAAGTTGTAGCGTGAAGCTCAGCGACTACTGCTGACAACGTAAGTCATGCTTGCGTGCCTTCACCATTGTATTCAAACGAATCACGTGGTGTGCCGTTCTCTTTCAAACACAGGTTTCGATCAATAGGGGAGTTTCAGTAAAAAAAACACATTGCAAATCATGCAAATTCAACATTTTCAAACCTGTAAACTAAAACAGAAATGCTCAGCGATGCAAAAGAAGGATAGATGTTACTTTTCATTATACACATCTCTGTTGATACAATCCCTCACATATTCTATTCCCAGTTATACCTGCGTAAATGGATTAGCCTCTTTTGATGTTGACATTCAGACTAAAATCACGTGACAGGCTGTTAAAATTGGCTGTTGCATACACTTTCGCCGGTCTGGAAAATGTGTTTAGTTAGCTCTCATTCAAGTAACAATGCAGATTTCCCAGTGGGAGTGAAACTATTCGACTCTGCCATTAAAAAATAGGGGTGTTTTGAGCAAAAAACGAATAACCCTGGAGTGCACACAACACACTGAATTTCGGAACAAATCTTGCATTATTTACAGCAGCAGAATACCACAGAAATATCAGACGAAACATGGAAACACTATATATATGTATTTCGGCCTGAACCCTCTCTATTGCAATTCCAGGAATTACCCCCCATATGTGCAACCATTTTCCACCTTGGTACCACCCAAGCCTGAAAACAAAATCTTAATACCACGCTGAAGCGTTTGGTAATAACCCAGAACGCATGCTCCCCGCCAACTTTTTATGACTGACTGACTAATAGATTATAATTTACATTTTGTTTCACCAGAAAATGGTCGTGGTGGTACAACACTCCAGATCCACGATGGTCCGACGTCAGAGGCTCCTCTAATTGCAGAGATCCGACGTCCGGGAGCAGACTTTCAGCAGCACCGTTCAATATCGCGGTCCAGCACAGTGTACGTGCGACTGCGATCTGAAATGTACCACGGAGATAAGCTACTGGGTACTTTCGCTTCGATTACACAGCCAGGTAGGTTCCATGATGAATGAGGCGTATTTACATAATGTGTGTTTAACCATGTCATATTAATAAATGTACGGCGTGTTTTATTTCTGCTTGAGGGTTAGTGTGTGCATGGAACTATAGTTCCATGGTGTGTGTGTGTGTGTGGGGGGGGGGGTCGAAACTCGTTGTGACGAGAACCATTGAGTCTGGCCTACCTCGGGCTGTAGGATCCCTTTGTTTAACGTTCACGTTATTGTTTGTTATTTAAGTTGCAGTGTCCGATTATCGCGTCAAAAGTCGAATGTTTTGTTAGTAGTCCTATGAGATTTGTGATTTTTGTTTACCATGGTAAAATGACTAGTGATTAGTTGTACCATGGTACAGGGCCAGAGATTTGTTTGATTTATCTCATATTAGGATGCTATGATTCCACAAATTTATTTATGATATACTCATCACGGTTACAAATGGAGTGTACAGTTCAATTCTTTATACATTTAGTTTTCCAATCCATTACAACTTACTAGTATTTAAAGCGGGGGAGTCGTCACCTGCCCACATGCGTCAGATGGTCATAGCGTGCCATTGTTTACAAACAAGCATCTACCCATGAGCCTTTGCGTTTTAGCGTGTGTTGTTATCGTCGCTTGGGACTCAATTCCCGCGCGTGCGCAGGTGACGACCCTCCCGCCATAAACCAAATTCTGACATCACTTTTTGTTTTTATATGAGGTTACCTTAAACACAAGACACATTTAGTTAGTTCAGAACTTTAATGTTACTTTAAAAATGTGAAAATAAACAACTACAGAAAAAATTATATTGTTTGGGGCTGTCACAGAAGCCATAATTCCTGTGAGTGTTTGTCTTTGTAATTTGTGTAATTCTCCAGTCCACTGTCGACTAGCAATATTAGCGGAACTGTCCTTGTAAACAATTCATCACTGACATTTCCATAGATGACACAGGTCGCTGTCCTGACGATTTTTTCCGATGTGACGATGGTTCCTGCATTTATCATGATGTTGTTTGTGACGGTCTTAACCAATGTGGGGATCATTCTGACGAGAATGAATGTAAAGACAAAGAACAAACTACACCCAGCCATGGTAAGAACGAGATATGCACCCCACTGTTTTGATACACATCCTATCATTTTCAAAATTACATAATGGAACAAGTAAACTCGTATGACCAGGGACAAAGTAAACCAGTGTGGTAACCAAACACCAAGTAATTTACGGGGTAGTAACCAGGAACCAAGTAATTTTTGGGAGCGGTAACCAAGTAATTTACGGGGTGGTAACTACGAACCAAGAAATGTACGGAGTAGTAACCAGGAACCAAGTAATTTACGGAGTGGTAACCAGGAACCAAGTAATGTACGGGGTAGTAACCAGGAACCAAGTAATTTTCAGGGCGGTAACCAGTAACCAAGTAATTTACGGGGTGGTAACCACGAACCAAGTAATATACGGGGTGGTATGTAAGAACCAAGTAATTTACGAGATGGTGACCAGGAACCAAGTAATTTACGGTGCGGTTACCAAGAACAAAGTAAAATACAGTATGGTAACGAGGAACCAATCAATTTGTGGGGTGTTAGCTAAGAACCAAGTTCTTAACGGCAGTTAACCAAGAACCAAATAATTTACGGGGTGATAAACATTAATTTACGAGGTGGTAACCAGAAACCGGATAATTTGAGAATTTACGGGGTGGTAACAAAAAACAAAGTAATTTAAGGGGTGGTTGCCAAGAACCAAGTAATTTACGGGGTGGTAACTAGGAAGTAAGTAATGTATAGAGTGGTATTAAAATTGGCAATGCCCAATGTCATTCTGTAACAATAAATTGTGATACTGGCATATGCCATATCACAGCCATAAGACACATCTAGTTTCATATTCCATTTACTTTTAGAAAGTTATTGCGACCGGTGCGTGCACCATCGTCAGTGCTTTGAGGATCGTATGCTCTGTGATTGCGAGGATGGTTACCATGGAAATTACTGTCAATATGAAGATGGTGAGTTTATAATCTGAGATTCCTGATAGTGGTGTTGAAATATGCCTTTTTGTTGAAGTGAAAATGATTATTATCGTCAATTATACAGTGGCGTAAAAATGAAAATTGCAATGTTTTTCTCTTATTTAAAGCGGGGGAGTCGCCACCTACGCATGCGTCAGGTGGCCATAGCGTGTCATTGTTTACAAACAAGCATCTACCCATGAACCTTTGCGTTCTTAGAGTGTGTTGTTATCATCACTTGCACGTGCGCAGGTGACGACCCTCCCGCTTTAAAATCAATAACATATCATAGCAATGACATTTCGAGCAGACATTTGTGATTGTCGTGTTGTGCCACTATTCAATCTGTTTTGAATGTAGACTTGGTGTATACCTGTGATCAGTGTCAAAATGGTGCACACTGCCGCATTAATATAGATGGATCTCTTGAATGTCAGTGCCAGAGAGGATACTATGGAACCTACTGCGAGTACCTCCAAGGTATGGCATGCAAATACACACGTATTGAAATGTGCACACGTATTGAAATGAAGTGATGACGATTCATATTGCAGCACAGGGAGCCCAGGAACTAAGATCAACTGTACTGTATGAGCGGGGGGGGGTATCGGCTGGTATCTAGTGTAAGAAATAGACAAGGGGTGAAGGCTCCAGCCAGCTCATATTTTTTAAACTGGACGAACAGAATGAAAAATAAAATCTATAAAAAATACCAGGTTGAAGAATATTAGTTGCTCTTTCAAAATTCGCCAAAGCCCTTCCTATATTTTATTTTGTTGGAGGCGTGGCCTGTTCAGCATTTGTCAACAAATTGTTTTAAATTCTGTGTTATAACACACCATGCGACATATAGTTGTTCTCAGATGTCAGTCAATTTAACTGCCATCGTGTATTACAGAAGACAAATGTCGGTTCGAATGTTACAATGGAAAGTGTACAGACGAAGGAGAATGCAAATGTCACAAAGGATATTATGGTAACATGTGTGAAAACGAGGAAGGTATTTACTGTATTCTTTCTCTATTTCGTTGCCGAATGTTAGTAACGATTTTCCGGTATTATCTCGGAATGCAGCCTCAGTGCCAATCAGATTAAAATAAGATCCTTGTTGGCCTCTTTTATATATTTTTTTATGTAATTATTATTTATTTTAATTATTTTTTGACATTACAATTATTTTTACTGCAAGACTTGGTTTGTTTATAAAGCAAATATTAAAATGAATAATAATAATAATAATACTAATAATAATACTACTAATAATAATAATTCTCTATTGAGATTAGGTATATGTCATTTTATAAAATACAATGCAGTGCATGAGTTAACTGGTACCATTTTTATCACGTGTTTATCTGTACAGAACCAGTAGACGATTGCGGCGGATGTATGAATGGTGGATATTGTCAGAGTGGTGGCTACTGTGTTTGCAGTTTTCCACACTATGGATCGCACTGTGAACGCGGTATGTAATGTCCCGAAATCCGTCGAATATCGTCTACATATCTACCACTGTGAAAAATATAACCTTCCTGGTAAAACTATAATTATTTTCCTCAATGAAAATTACACAATTAGTGTCTCTGGATGCGATATGTTAATTGTCAAAATTTAATGTGTTTCCCCGATAGACCGATACACGTGTGATGGTGGCTGTTGGCACGGCGGAATCTGCGAATACGGATCATGTTCCTGTAAATATGGTTACTATGGCGACCGCTGCCAGTTCGGACCCGGTGAGTTTTCATATAAACTTCGTGTCATGGTAGACATTTAAGTCCAATAATATTAGACTTGTGTTTCTTGACAGGTGGACGATCGGTTGCCGAGTGTTCATCAAACCATTCGATATATCCTGTTTGTTGAGATGATTGTCCAATGGTAATAAAATCGGGAATCTCACATAAAGTGCTGCTTTAATTTGTTAATCGTTTCAGACGCGTGGTATGATGATTTGCATAGTGAAACGAAAACAATAAGTGGTTGGTTTATTGGTGGCATGGTGGTCGCAAGCCTATTGATCATTTTACTTGTAGTCGCCACCTGTATTGCCAAGCGTCGTTGTTGTGGCAGCACTGCTGAACAGTCAAAGGAGAAGATAACGCCGTACACCGTCAGCGACAAATTAAGTGAGTAGTCGATATGCACCCTCTAAGCAGTCTGTTCAGCATCTGAGTGCAATTGTTGCATATCATATCGAACACGAACAATAACAATATTTAAAGTGGGGGCCTGAGTCGTCACCTGCGCATGCGTCAGTTGGCAATAGCGCTTCATTGTTTACAAACAAGCGTCTTTGACCCTGCGTTTTAGCGTGTGTTGTTATCGTCGCTTGGGACTCAATTCCCGCGCTTGCGCAGGTGACGACCCTCCCGCTTTAAAGTTATCTATATAAATATAATCTATAAACAATTGCGATGTACGAGTCACAATCATATCGGTTGCAGTCACCGATGGCGCACATTCTGACAAGCCAAAGTGCAGTTTAGTTAATGACTGAAACTAACTCACAGAACAATGTACATTTGTATTGTCATGCAATAAAAATAAATACGTATTGTGTTTATCGATTTTTCAGAATACACTGTGGATCTGTCTACACGTTTTGACGAATGTCACGGAAACTCTACCTACGAGTCTTCAGAAAAAGACAACATCAGCCTACCCCCATCCTATGATGACATCAGTATCTATAGCAACAACCCCTATACAGTCAAGGACGTGACAAATATTGAATTGCACTCGACTAAAGGGAACGAAGCGAAACCCATTGTTCCACCAGAAGCCGACAAATAAAATGATGTTACACTAAACCATATAACACATTACCCACTAGTTACACCATATTGCCCACCTTGTTACACCATATTAGTAACCCAGTTACACCGTATTACCCACCCCGTTACACCACATTACCCACCCAGTTACACCACATTACCCACCTTGTTACACCACATTACCCATCTTGTTACACCACATTACCCACCCTGTTACACCACATTACCCACCCTGTTACACCATATTACCCACCCTGTTACACCATATTAGTAACCCAGTTACACCATATTACCCACCCTGTTACACCACATTACCAACCCAGTTACACCATATTACCCACCCTGTTACACCATATTACTAACCCAGTTACACCATATTACCCACCTTGTTACACCATATTACCCACCCTGTTACACCACATTACCAACCCAGTTACACCATATTACCCACCCTGTTACACTATATTACTAACCCAGTTACACCATATTACCCAC